TGATCTAATGCAATGTGTGTGGGGAAATCAGAAATTTTTTCAGTTTTAAAAAATCTACAGTGTAGGTGGGAACGTATAAATTTACAAATCTGTGTCTGAAAACCTTTTGTTTATTTTGGACCACTCTAGTCCTCAAAAATATAATCTCAAAAGCAAATAATTAATCACAGAAACAAACAAAGAGCACCTCTTGTGGTCTTAAATATTCACTACAACTTTTAGACTGGTGGCTGTACAAAACAAAAAATGGAAGACAAAATAAAAAGAGAAAACTGCAGGACTTGATTTATTAACTGACATTATAAGGAGCGACAGCACCATCTGCTGGTCATATTTAGTCACTGCAGCTTAAAATCAACGCTACAGTGCATGAATTTACAAACCTTTTATTAAGACTTTGAAATGTGCGGAAGATGATTAGAAAAAATAAAATTCTGTCTTCAATCTCAGAATTTTTAATTTCCTTTTTCTCAGAATTCTGACTGTGTTGTCATATAATTAAAAGAATAAAATGAATTTTATTTAAGATTTTTAATTATAAAATGTTTTAACATTAAAATTTGCGAGATTCAATTATTTTTATGTTTCTCATCTTCCCTCCAACTTTCTGAGCCCCACAGCGCCCCCTGGTGGCGCCAACTTTGAAATACACAGAGTCACGTGATTCCATGTCATGATTTACTTGAATTACTCTCATCTGTTCATTTCTTGACAATAAATAAATTCCTTCGTTTTCTTTGTGCCTCTTTTTTGTTTCAGCTTTCCTAAAAACTAAACCTTTACGTTTCCATTCATGCAACATGATTTGTCTCCTTTTCTCTTTGGCGTCAAAACAGATTTAACGTCATATTTAAAGTGTAAAATCATTTTAGCTGCAGCTTTATTTCATGGAGGGTCGAGTTCAGTTCCTGTCGAAAAATAAATTAATAAATGTGTTCAGTCTCTCGACAGTAGAGAAGGAGCCTTTCTGTGAGAGACCCAGCTTTGCATTTTGTTCCTGCTGTAGTACAGCCCACTCACAATAAGACAGTCTTCCCCCAGGCCTCCTATTTGTGTGTGTGGGTGTGTGTGTGTGCGTGTGTGTGTGTGAACGAGAGAGACAGAGAGAGGATGGAGGCGGCAGAGACTCTGATGACAGAGCTTTTATAATACGTCAATAAAATTACATTTTCGTTTTTCCATTGACATCACAAGAGTCATGTGATCAACTACATGATGTTACTACTGGCAGAAATGAAGAAAAAGACGACAGGAAGTGGGAGGAAGATAATAGCATGTTTAGTTTAGTGAATTATCTTGTGAACATACTTATTCCCATGTGATTTAAAGAAAAATAAATGGAAACACCATAATTGCAACATTGTGTTTTTTCGATGTTAGCGCACATTTGTAACGGAAACACCGCTACTGACAACCTGGATAGGTCTACACATCAGTTAAATACATATTTTAAAATAAATGAAAGTAGTTATTGTAAATAAATTATAATCAGTGCCATTTTGTGTGTGTGTCATATGGTTGCATCTATGATGTTGCATAATCTTGCAAAAAGTAAAAGATGCAACTTTTAATCAAAATATTTGTTTGGTCACCCTTTGTTTTGAGGACCCTTAGGATAAATGTACCTAAAACATTTTTTTGTTATATACTGTCGGATTTTAGTGTTTTCACACCTGACAGTCCAGTAAACTCAGTTTGATTAAGGTCCAAAATTAAAACATTTGTTTCAACATTAGCAGAACATTGACAGTTTTGCGAACATTTGTAATGGAAATCCAGCTACCGGTCCAATAAATGAATAAGTTTCTATTCAGACTTCTTGCCACTCCCATGTTAAACTTTCTAGAGCCGTCTCTGACTGACTGACATGCTGGGTTCACTGGCAGTAGCATCAGCGCTGATGTGCCAATATTTGCGGAGTTCATCTCCAGAAATATCACATCTCATTTTGGGCCAAATCCATTATGTTCGTCAGTCGACATTAGAGAAGAGCCAGAAATGGCCCCCTTCCTGTCTGCCGCTGAGATAAATTGCCTATTAGCCCTTTGGGTTTATAATTTGGTGCAATCAATCACTGAGCATGAATAGATGCCAACCGGGAGCTCGTCACATTTGGAATGATAAAAGCCTCGGAAAATGTGTTTAAACATTGTCTTGTGGTGTTTGTCACGAATATGGAAAGATTTTTAAAAGAATGACATTGAGCAACAGACAGACAGTTTATTGTAGCAAGAAATCAAACCAAAACATTTTATTTCATACATTTATTTCAGTCATTTGCAGTAAAAAAAAAAAAAAGAAAACATGACAAAAGGAGGGAATGTTTTGGTTGCTACTTCGCCTGCAGAGTCATTGTCTCATAGTCGACTACCTACTGCGCCTGCTGGAAACAACCAGCCTCAGCCTGGTTTTCACGTCTGATTTTAATCCTGGCTGTGTTTTATGTACGTTTAGCTCGCCAGGTGCCCACTTGCTGCCTTTTATGACTGCCGTTTGAATAAAACCTGCTTTTCTCCCTCCTGTCACCACGCTTTGCTCAGTAAAGGATTGTTGCACAAAGTGTTCAGCCCACAGTCTGTCACATCCCTCCTCCTCGTTGCTGTTTGTGTTGCGTTGCCTTCCTGGCTCGTTCAGATAACAGACAGATTTGGAGAAAACATCAGGGAACGGTTTACACCTGAGCGGTTTCATCTTTAAACCACCTGCTCTGGTTCCTGCCGTCACATAAAGGCTACTGCTTCTTTTCTTTACAGGCTCAAGAATTAGGCTTTTTTATCTGCAGTAAAATGCTGGTCTAATATTTTACCCTAATTTAACTATTGCTCTAAATTTAAGGAGGCAGAAAAACAAAGAATCCTGACTTGAAAAAGGTCGAATTCCTAGAAAAATATCTCCAAATTGTAAGAAAAACACCAGAATTCTGAAACAAACTTCAAAATTCTGTAAAAAAAAAACAGAATTCTGTGAAAAAATATTGAATTTTGAGACTAAATTATGTACAGAGAAAAAAATTCTTAGAAAAACCTTAGAATTATGAGAAAAACATAAAAAATTCTTAAAAAAGAATGAGATTTAAAATCAGAATTTTGATTAAATGTAATAATTTTCAGATGAATTCACTACATAGAGAAAGCAATTTGAATTGTTAGAAAAATGTCAGAATAATGAAGAAAACTTAAAAATAATGCAAAAAAGAGTTAGAATGAAATTTAAAATGAGAGAAAAAAATAATTCTGACAAAAATTTTACAATAATGAGAATGAAATCAGAATCTTCTATGAAAGTTTGAATTCTCAGAATTCAGAGAAAAAGTTCAGAATTCTAAAAAAAGAAAATGAGATTCAAAATCAGAATTCAGAATAAAAATGATGTGAAAAATGGTAGAATTCAAAATTCTTTTTCATTCCAGTAGAAAAATATTTGATTCTTTAAAATTCTTTGCCAGAGGTAGCTGTCTCATTTCAGCCAACACTTCACACGGTGCTGGCTGCATGTTTCTGGCTCCATCCCGTTTCATCTCCCTCCCCTCTGCATGACTCATGGATCCACACCGCCAAACGTCCTCTCAGTCTTCCCCCGCCTCCCACGACTCTCCCCCGGCCTCGGCAGACGGATGAGTCAGTGGACAAAGCGATCGGCTTCCTCTCATCCTTCCAGCCGCTGTCCATCACTGCCCACATCACCGCGTGATTCACCCACCAATCACTGTCTGCGCTGAAAAAATAAGTCCTGCTGGACCCCTCTGTCCTGCAGAGTCAACACCAGGCCCGGTCCAAACCTTTGTGGGGCCCTGAGCAGATTTATTGGGGGGCCCCAACATGTCAACACCAGACACTTCATCATTGATAAACTATTATTAGCATCATTTGCAATAAACTTATATCTTATGGGAGCTTGTTTTCAGCTAATAATTCCTAAATATTGAGTAAAAAGTTTATTTCACTTATCAAAGGTAAAATGGCTTGTTAAAAGTGAAATATTCTGTGTAGTACCAGTACTTTATAATCAATATTGAGAGCTTATTGACTTGTATGTAGAATTTAGACTGTTTCAGTTGTTTTAAGATATTTGCACTAGAAACTAGACCAAAAATACTTGGTGAAATGTTGTATTTTTGCAGTGCACAACAGTTGAGTGTACCACATTTTATTCCCAGGATCTCCTTGGTGATATTGCTGTAATTTCATTCCCTGCTGCAGGCTGCATTGATCTTATATTTAACCAGAACGTCCCTGAAGTGCTCAACAAGCTGAGATCAATGCTAACCTGTTTGCTTCATGTGTTTACCATTCAGCATTGTTTTTCTGTGGCCTATATTCTGGGATTACTAACTACTTTCAATTAATAACTCAGTTTATGATTTCCAGATACAAATAAATACATTTGGGTTTGTAATTCTGAAGTTCTGCAACAAGTCAGCATTTTCCACCATCGACTATCTCTTCCTTAGTGATGTCGCCTCGGTGAGCCATAAAGCCTGTTAGGACAGTAGCCAAGCTGTGGTTACCATGCACAACGCCATTAAAGGCCAGCTGCATGTCCGCACAAGCAAAAAGCAAACAAACCTGAGAAGGTATACAAGGCATAAAAGCATCATGAGAGCGACTTGGATCAGCTGGATTAGAGAAAATTGTCGGAGAAAAAAAGCAGACAAATCCTGCATTTGTTGGTTCTTTTCAACAGATTTTTGTATAAATCTTCAAATCCAGGGTTGCAATAGTTTTGTGTTTTTCTTTTGTTGTGACATTTTTGTGTCTGGTTAGTTTTAATTAGTTTTTAATTTTATTTTCCTTTTTGGGATTAGTAAAGTATTTTTGGATTTGAATTGTTTTTTTTAATTAGTTATAGTTTTAGTTCTTTACAGACTGTGTTTAAATTGATTGGGTAATTAATACTTATCAGAAAACACAAATAAATAGATTAATAAACACAAAAATGAAAAATGTTGCATCTATAAGTTCAATGCGTTTTATATACCTCCCCCATTAATTACTGATTTTATTTCAGTTCAATGTTTTCTTTATTATAACAACCTTGGCCACACACTTTTTTCATATAAATATTTATTGCAGAGGAGGTATCTTTTATGTACATGCTAACACAATATAACACAATATAAATCTACCAAATATACCCATATATTGATGCTATAAGCTTGTCATAGAGCAATAGTCATAACAAGCACAAAATACAGTGGGTCGGGGACAGTGTCACTCACTATACAACTTGTAACAGTCCATAAAATATAACATTTTTTCCTTTTTTTGTTCTATCAAGGGCAGTGAAACATCAGTCCTACTAAGTTCTTGAATTCATGCAGAAGCCACAAGAGCAAGAATTACGACGTTACAGCATTGAGTAGTAGTAGTAGTAGATTTGCTAGTACTTGTCGTAGCGTGACACCGTCCGGTCACAAGAGTCCAGTTCAAATGAAAGCGGCCGGCCGAACAGAAACACACCGTGGTTGACGATCAGTGGACAGAAAAGCTACAAGACACGGCATTGTCTGTGATGGCACCAGGACGACGGTTCGGGTTCAAACCTGCACCGATTCCTTGATGATGACGATAAAATACAGATCATTTCCAGAGAGACCGACAGTTAACAGACACCAGAATGCTTCACAGAGTTTAATACACACACACACACACAATGGACAGAAGAAAAATAAAACAGCAAGTTGACGATCAGAAATTATTCAAATTAAAGAACAAATTGGGCTCACTGTAACGTGATATTTAGTTTCATGATGGGATATTGCACTCATTGTATTTTCTACTCATATTTGAGGATTAAAATTAATTTGAAAGCAAAAATATCTCTTTTTTTTAAAGTTATCATTATTATATTGCTTTATTTAGTATTATTATTTTCATTACACACAAATCAGAGGAGGTACAATTTTCTAAAATAGTCCCTTTTTAAAATAATAAAAAAAGACTGTTAAAGCACAATAAACAGGAGCAGGTCATTTGTCACCCATGGCAGTAAATCTCCCACAAACTTTTCCTTTTTGTTAAACCTCCCAGCAGATATTACACTAAAAAAAGAGAATGGAGCTCCAACTTATAACGAATTAGTTAATCAAATTAAGTTGGTCAAACTGAATTTAGTTAAGTTTGTTTAACATGACAACTTAATTACTTGTAACAAATTTACTCAGTTTTATTCAAGCTGGATCACCCATTTCTGTTTTTCAGTGTATGTTAAACATTTTCAGATCAGTTGAAGCAACAGAATTGGAAAATTAAAAAGCACCAACAATCATTCAAACTGATACAAACTTTCACAGAGATGTGACTGCTAGCTTCTGCTTGGTCCAAATTAAAAGATTCTTGTTTTTTAAAAAGGGTTTTTTTTAAAACCCTGGTTAACAATGAAAAGTGATTTTTTTTGGATTATCTAATAAAATCAGATGAGCAAAACTCCCAATAAATCCCAAGATGCAACCAAAAAAAAATGCGTCTTGTTTTATGTGTAAATCCATTCGCCTACTCGTTTTATTTATTTACTTTAAAATTTGAAAGGAGTTTTAGTGTCGTGTTGATCTCCAGGTTACTGCTTCACCTCTTTATGGTGGATTTATGAAGTTTCATCCACATACATGGTGGTATCACAAACATCGGACCAACTCCCATTTCAAACTCTGACCCAAAATGCTGCTGCTTCTTCTTCCTTATTTTTTTAATTGATTTTTTATTTTACCCAAAAACACACAATTTATTCCTTGCATTGCTGTTTAAGCATTTTGACGACAACAGTCAGAAATATGGCCGAACCTCATGAATAATTCATTAAGCCGCATCTACAAACACATTGGGTGCAACATAAAGAGCCATGCTGGATTCCCAAACAAAACCGGGTCAGACTGACTTCAGTTCGCGGCTTTGCCAGTTCATACTCCCATTTCGTTGTACCAGGGTATTGGAGTTTATCACCAGTATTTTGGTTCTGATCCAATTTGGGACAGATGATTCTAGATAGTGAATAAGACAGGGTGCATTCACACCAGGTATGTTTAATCCGCTTTAATTAAACTCTGGTTTGTTTGTCTGAACATCAGAGTTTGTGTAACTGAACTCTGATGCAGATCAGAAAAGCAAACCCTGGTCCCACTGCAAACCTCAGTCTCGGTTCGTTTGAGGTGAACTCTGCTGTTTGAATGGATGTGTGAATGCCGAGCAGACCAGAGACCGCTCCGAAACCAGGAAGAGGACTGCAACACAGGGCATTCTGGTTAAATAGAATCAAAACAAACATGAGAGTCTACCTCTGGCAGGAGAAACGATTCATAGTTTTTATCAAAAAACAAAAGAGAAATCCAACATCCACTAAAATCTGACGCTCATCCATTTTTACCTCAGTGGTTCTTGTTGCAGTGCCCCCACAGGAGAGGAGGGGAACAGGTTTTTCAAAGGGTTTAGACCATTTGCTGAAAATGTAAATGTTCCGGTTTGGTCCCCAATTGAGCCGCGTCTACGGGGCTATCTGGTGTGAAAACATCCTTATTACAATAAACCTAAGTGACCTCTGGTGGACAAAATACTAAATCACATCAAATTGTGGGAGGTTAAAGTGTAAAGTCTCCTCAGTTGGTACAAAATGTCCCTTAGTAGACGGCAACAAACGTCAGGGACAAAACAACCAAAACCAATAATCTAGGAAATGGTGACGGGTCGTATTGACCCTTGCAAATGACCTCCTTCTGTATTCTCCATTTTAACTTTTAAGGGATATAAAAACAGGACCAATGGGAAAAAATGCTAGTTAAAACATTAGCACTGCTCAGTTGACAAACAAGCAGAGTCCAGCTACTCGGCACCTGGCTGTGCATGCTGTTAATACAGATCACCGTCACAAAATCCAGACAAAAATCACTTTTTCCCCTCTAGACTGATACAAGACGATTCTAATAGTTAGGCATGAATAGTACATCTCCACAGTCTTGGAAGCATTTTAATCTGCAGAGAACTACAATTAAATAGATCTAAAAATATATATATATGCTGTGTGTATGATTGCCAGTGATATAATATGGAAATTAAGAGAATAAAATGTGCATAAAGGACATAATCTGTTCTGAATTTATGACGTTTGCTAAGGTGCTATTGAGTTACTTTCCTTTCCGTTTTTGGATCAAATCCTTATGAAATACAAGTCAAAGACCAACATCACACTTCACAGACTCTTCCTGTTTTATACTGCAACCCAAATCTCATCTATGTGACAACAAAGACAAAAACTCTGAGCTGGAACCAACATTGTAATATCGCTTCGTTGCCACATGTGGGTGAAAAAAACATCAGACAGGAAACAGAAAGTAAAGACTGCAGAGATGGAGAAAGCTGATGTCTGACATTGCTCATAAAGTGTAACAGTTGCATAATTGGTCTACAATTTAATTTCCAGGAATTTCCCTGTAGTGATCTGGAATGCTCTTCTTGACTTTGTTTTGTCGTTTTGTACATATTCCAAATGTGTAAAACTGGAACAAAACCTCAGAAAGGAAGGCAACTTTTGGGTTAATTTTGCTTCCAAGTTACCATACAAATAGTAAAAGGTAATATATATAACTCTTTGCAATTGAAAAAAGAAAAATTATACATTGATAACTATAATTTCAGAGGTCCATTCAGGTTGAGTGTCATGCCTTCTTGCTTGATTTGCTCTCGTCAAAGTCCCAGGGGCAAACCTCGGCCTTTTTAGCAGAACTCGCAGCCGCAGCTTTTGAATTTGGATTGCTCTGCTTTTCTACTGGGGCATTTTTATCAGAACCCGTCTTACTCGACACGTCCTCAAAATCCCACGGACAGACTTCAGCCTGTTTTGGTTTGGCTGCTCCAACATTAGCGCTTTTTCTTGTCTCTACCTGCAGCCCCTCCTGCCGACCCTCTACGTCCCTCGGACAGACCTCTGACAATTTCTGCTGGCTAAAACGTTTATCTGATGACTTTGTTAAACTTTTCTCATCCTCAGTGTCTTTTGACTTTTCCTTCTCAACCGTCCTGGTGGAAGGGCCGCCTTTCCTTATCGTGGGCGATTCTTTAGCTTTGGATGCTTGTGCCGGACTGGGTGTCCTGTCTGTATTTGGAGAAACCGCAGCACTGTCGTAGTCCCAAGGACAGATTTCGGCTTTCGTTGTTGGTAGGGGCAGAGATGTAACCCCTTTGGGAGCATCTGAAATGGGGTTTCTACCTCGTCCGTCCACAGGAGAGGAGCTCTTTTTCTGCTTTATTGTATCTGGAGACCGGGCTAACTCTGTCACCTTCTGCTGCTCTTCGAAGTCCCACGGACAAATGTCTGCTCGCTTTGTTTTGGAGCTTTCTAGCGTAGAATGAGGCCTGTTTGACCTTGACTGACTGGACACTTGTTGCCTTGCTCCTTCTGAGAAACTGGTTTGTGTCTCACCTCCCTCTTCCCACGGACAGACCTCGGCTCGTACAGAAGTCGTCCTCTGAATCTCCTTTGAGTGTCTTCCACCCGATGGAGACTGATCAGAGGCCTTCTGCTTCTGGGATTTACTCCCTTTGGTGCTGCCTCCATGAAACGTTGTCGACTCCGTCGGTGCTATCGAGACGTGCTTCTGGATCTTGTTCTCAGATGGAGTCGGCAGGTCTTCCAGCTCCCATGGACACACTTCAGAGACATCGTACAGGTCCTGTCCGCGGACTGGATCAGAGCAGATTGCAGGCTGGCTGCCGGTCACCGGCTGCTTCATTATCCTGCCTTTGGCTGCACTTTGCTTGTAGTCAACTGATTGGCTGATGATCATCTTTGGCTGACAGTCGTTCTCTGTCTCTGCATTCGCTTTTGTATCTCTGCTCTTTGGCTGACTCTTCTTATTGCTGTCCTCTGAGCTCTGGGTCTTCCCAGTCAAGCCCAAAGTCTTCTCCTTGGCGCTGGCGATGACACTCAAAGACTTCTGCAGCATGGACGCTCTGGGGTGAATCGGTTTCTTGTCAGCTGTTAGATTGTGGGCACTCGCCGACTTGCAGACTAACGGAACAGACTCTGTAGATTCACTGGGGGCGTTGATGTTCTCACTGGACTTCTTGACCAGCTTTTTGCCCATCATCGTATCTAGTAGCGACCCTTCATTTGTGGCCGTCTCCATCTTGTCTGCAGCGGCCCTGTTAGCGTCTTCGTTCTGGTCACGGACATGGTCGTAGCTGCTGTGGGACTTCTTCAGAGAGAAAACCTTGTTCTTTAGCGTCTCTTCCTTGGCTGGTTTCACCAGATGACTGGGATCCAGCGGGTTCTTCTTCAGCATGCAGATGCTGTTCCGGTTGCTCCCGTAGTCTCCCACCTCCTTGTCTTCCCGGCTGCACTGCCGATGCACAGACTCTGGGATCTCGGTGATGCGTCTCATCAGCGAGCGCCCCAGACCTTTCTTGGAGCTTCGCTTCTTCTGCAGGTGTGGGTTGTTCGCTAGCATCTTCTTCCTTTTGTAAATCTCCAGCTGGGAGTATAACTTCTTCAGCTCCTCCTAAAAATGAATAAGAACAGAAAAGCAGATTGGTGAATCTTTGTTGAGAGGCATTTAGACGATAAAACACACAATCTACTCCACTTAGACCATGCAACTCCATGACAGATGGCAACAAACATCTGCTAAATGACGCACTACTCAAAAATCACATGCGTGCTGAAAGAAAAGCAAAGACAGGACTATTCTGGACAGCATCAAATAAGGAAACAACGTGTTTTAGTGTTAGGTCTGAAACAGCCTCTAATCCCGGGTCCTTGACTGGCTCCATCTGTATCTTCATCCAAGACATTAAGTGTTTCCAAGCAACCTGGATGTGATCATAAAACCACTTTCTCAAGAAAATACTCCAAAGGCACCCAAAGCTTTTGGTAGAGAGACTTCTTCAGCTCTAACAGACAAACAGATATCTCAGCTCACGTTGGTACGTTTTTCCCAAAGGCTGTCGCAAGACCTTACGCCACAGCCATTAATAGAACTGAGATGGCCCATTTCTTCTGGTGTCTGCAATAAAAAACTGCCATGGCTCAGTATTTGCAGAGGATTCAAACGCAACGCCAGGTTATGCAAATGAGAAGAACAGACGTGTGAAAACACTTCATACCCGAATGTCCTCGGGGTCCAGGCTGTGCTCGCTCCATGCTGAAGTGATGCTGCTGTTGAGGTATGACCCGGAGCGACCCATGTCCAACTCGTCCTCGTAGGCCTCGGAGGCGATATCATCCCTCATATGGGTCCCAGCGAACAGAAACTAGAGAAAATGTGTTAAAACTGATAAGTAGGCGTTGCCTTATTGGCAATACAACATTTAAGTCCTTGTAAACTATAAAAGTTGTGTTTGTGTTCCACTAATGCCTGTTGATGCAAATTCAGCACAAACCAAGAATCATGTTGGAAGCACGTAACAGTAATCTAGAGCCTGAGTATCACCCAGTTATCATTAATTTACTTCATTTGCACAAAAAACGTACAAATTTGCTTTATTTAAGTTTTGTACAATGCCTATAAAAAAAGAGTTTTTCTCCTTTTATTGCTTTCACAAATCAATCATAATCAACAAAATTAGTAAAAAATATTTTTAAAAACTGCAATATTAAGAAGAAAATGTATTTCTACAAAATAATAATCCATAAAATAAATGATTGCATAAATATTCACCAACTTTCCAGTAAATGACCTAAATTAACGGCGGTCCAGCCAATTGGTGCATGGAATAGAGATCACTGAGTGCAGTGAATGTGTCTCCAGTGATTGTCGTAAAAAGACAAGCAAGGAAATATTTAAATTGAGATTTTTTAAAAATTATTTTATGAAAATTAGTTTTGACTTTTTGTTGTCAAAAAAGCCTAATTTTGTTTTTCAGTGATTTGTACATGGAATAAAAAGGGTAAAACATTTTATATACACTGTATGGACTTCATTCAACTTAATTTATAACAATATAATAAAATTATAAACTTGATTCCTAAGAACATTTTTTAAAACAACTTGAATCAAGGGTTTAAGTTCACCTACCAGCATGTCAATGACTTTATATAGAACGGATTAAACCAGAAATTGTATCAAAATGGCCTAGTCCAAGTAGACAGAACTGAGAATTTGACTGAGGACCGTTTTCAAAGCCAGCTGTTATTTCCTTTCCTCTTCTGAATTTTTCACCTGTTAGTTTAATAAAATGCGTCTCAGTTTCAGGTACGGCGCATGAAAACTGATGTTCGCCCACCTTGGGAACGAGCAGCAGACCCAGAGTCACCGTCACCGTCAGGTGGGTGTGGCTGAAGAACAGCAGCAGCATCCAGTCTGGGTGGAGTTCATGAGCCAGGGTGAACCTGGACGCAAACGGAAAAAATTAAACAGCCAAACAAACAAAAAACACACAGAGACTGCAGGAAAACAAATACCAAAGTTTAACTTCACAACATTCCTTATTTTACCATGCTTATCTGATCTCATAGTATTATAACTTTATTTTTGTATAAAAAGAGAATAAACCGTCTAGTCGGTTCCACTGTTTCAATTATCGTTCCATTTGGGTGATTGCTTTGGCAGCTGGAATATTTTCTTCCAAAACTTTCAGGATGATTTGCAGAAAAGAGAAGCGACGTTTATCTGGACATGAGATTTGGTCTATTGTTGCGTCCCACAGCCTTGGTGGGATAATTAGCGTCTGGGACCACAGCGGTGAGAGGAATGATCAGGATTTGAAGGCATGGCGCCACAATGCAAGCAAATGTCATATAGCAGCCTCGTTAAAGTCAGAAAATGGGTAATTAACGAACAGTTACTGTGGTAATAGCTTGAAGGCGCGGATGAAGGCAAAGGTCCAGCATGTGAAATGTCCCGGAAGCTTTGAAGTCTGTCCTCCTTCATGTTTGGTGATGAGTTTCTGTGCAGACGAGGGTTTAATATAGCCCCGGCGTTTTGTCTCTCCTCAGCCCCAATCGTCAGTTCATTCCCTACACCGGGGTACAATCTAAACCTGGCCGCTGAGGATCAAGCAGCTGCTTGGTGAGACGAATAGAAACTCTCTAATTTATAAAAGGTGACCTATTACACTGCCTTAAACAGGTTAGGATAGACTTATACGTCAAATGCGTCAAACTCAAGGCCCGAGGGCCAAATCTGGCCCGCAGTAGCTTTTTATGTGGCCCTCCAGATTCCAAATTACATCATGAAGTCCGTCCAGTTTTTCATAGTTCCACAAAATTCACATCTTTTCCTAAACTTGCTGCAAATTTTCTCAAAAACATAAGTGACTGCTGCCTCGGCCTAAATGTCAATACAGTGATTAATAAAAAGTCACATTTAACGTCATACAACAGCGCAAATATTTCCAAAATGGCTCCACAATATCTGTGATTTTGATTGCAAAAAAACACAAAAACGATCACAAAATCTTAATGGACTGGAAAGATGTCAAGCACATTTAAATTTTAAGAAACACTTTTTGAATTTTGAAACAAACAACTTTTTATTGATATTTTAACAGTTTTATTGGTTTTATCAATAGATTCTGACTCAAAAATCTGAATGTTCTTTATGAACATTCAGATTAGAAACTATAAGATGCACAAAACATGTTCATTACGTTTTTTGCACAAACTTGTTCTTAGATGAGAGATTTTAGGGCGTTTTGTCACTTTAAATCCAAATAACCTGCTGCTGGCCACGCCCCCTCCTAGGTCAACGTTTAGACTTGCACATTAAAATGGCTGCCAACAGATGTTTAATTATACAACCATTTATGTGACAAGTTGTTTCTGGATGGTAAGCAAAACACTTGGCTTTTCCAGCAGCCATTGTACAGCGCAGAGAGAGATACAACTAACCTGTTAAATATTAAGGTTACAATCTTACTCAGCTAAAAGTATAGGATAGTAAAAATATTCCTAAAAGTAATTTTTTTCTAAAATGTTACTCAAGTAAATGTAACAGAGTAAATGTAAATAAACAAAAAAGGTTTCAATTATAATGACAAAGTATTTATACGGAGTTCAAAAGCCTCCAAAACTCAACATTTCTTTGAAAACCTATGAATAGCAAAACATTCAAGATGAATAAATGTTTATTTAGAGCTAAAATATGTCTGCCGATAATTTCCCCTTTATTGCCGTCACAGAAAATAAATCACAGTGGCGCTCTTCATTAGTAAGTAATGTGATGGAGCTGATCTCTAAGCTAGGGGCTAAGAATAGCTGCGGTGATGTCAGTTCATTTATAACATCTTTGTGCAGCGATTTGACGTGCAGAACGGAGGAACTTCACTGTGAAACAGCAACATGAGGCTTCGCTCTCAGGTCACATGTAACAAACATGGAAGTTATGCTTAACGATTTTATGAGATAAGCAAAACGACACATAAATGTGAGGTTCAACTAAAGTTAGGAGTGGTTATCACAATTTTCTACACAGCGTGTTTCTTTAAAGACCGTTTTACTATGCAAGCTACTGCCCCCAAATCAACGTTTGCACTCAGGCGTGAAAATGGCTGCAATCAGACACGCTATTATACAACCGTACATCTTTGAAAAGCAGAAGTTGAGCCTTCTGCACAACCAACCGTAAAGCAGCAAGTGGTTTCTGGATGGTAAGTCGACAACAAAACTCTTGTCTTTTCCATCACCCATTGTACACAATGTTAAAAGTAGCTGACCAAATGTGCTGGAATTCTGCTTGGGTTGCTAGGTAACAGGGTTGGGCTTGGGGTTGCTAGGTAACGGAGCATAGAATGTTTTTGAAACGGCTCATTTTTCAGACATCAAAAAAACAGTGTTGTTGTTTTTTAAGTGCTCTAACTGTTTTTAGAATCACTTGAGACACAAATGGCAAAATAAAATCGAGCAAAATGTGAATTTTGCATAATGGTGCCTCTTTAATATTCTATGTATTTTTGTCTTTTCTGACCAATCACCGCAACTCGGTTGAGTTTTACACAATCGTCTTAGCCTCCTTCTAATTAACTTCCTGATTCAAGATGAGGCAAGTGTGACAGCAATGGTAACTGGTAATTTATTTACACTGTGTCTACAGGTCAACTCTTCACAAAACTTGAAAATGTTTGCACTTCAGTTACTTCAAGTATTAAATTGCTATCTTTTTTTTTTGGAAAAGCTTATTTGTAACACCACGCAGCATCCACAAAAAAACAACCATTGCATCCTGGATGAACTGAGACATGCGGGTTACATTTGGGAGCAGAACGGACCTGATGACGTGGAAAATGGCCGACAGCACCAGCTCGTTGTGAACGGCGATGGCCATGTACCGCGGCTCATGGAAGGCCGACGGCACGGTCCTCACGGCGTAGCAAAGGTACACGGCCCACAGCAGGAAGAGGAACTCCGCTGTTCAAGAAAAAATGATGTTGACCAACAAGCCAAATTAAAAAAATGCCACAACTTTCCACGTTCAACATATTTCCTCCTCAGATACACAGGAAAACCATTTGCTCAACAAAAATGTTGGTTGCAGCTCTGATTTTTATTTACGCAGAAACGGCTTCATTACAGGTCAGGTTTAACTCTGAAGACAATCAGCAACAGACAAATGACAACATTATATAACATATATATATATATATATATATATATATATATATATATATATATATATATATATATATATATATATATATATATATATATATATATATATATATATATATATATATATATATATATATATATATATACAAATATAACTTATGCCTGCTTTTCTGTGTCTGACCTTTTTATAAAAATATTTTTCATCACAGAAAATTTAGAAAATTGTAAAGAAAAGATATAAAAAAATATTTTAAAATATATATATCTTTTGTATTTGCTTCTCTGTTTCTGATTTTCATTAATTTTTCAAATATTTTTTTATTACCAAAAATGAGAAAATTGCAAAGGAGAAGATAAAAAAATATATTTTTCAATATAATTTATATTTTATTTGCTCCCTCTGGGTGCATTTGGGTTCAACTAAACACCAAACCTGATAGATTTATGATTTTATTTCCAAAATCAGCCTGAATGTTACTGACTCCATTTGAAGAGAAAAGTTAAACACAGTAATTTAAAACACAAACAAACTTAATATTCCTGACTGAAATCATTGCAGATTAATAAAAACTTTGTAAGTGATTCGTTTTCTTCACAGTATCTGTTTCACAGAGTTCGTTTAAATTAAATATTTATAATGTTTCTGATTGTTCAGCAATATTTAGTGTATTTATTTTGTTTATAATGGAGGAATATTAGTGCTGAAAGTGCAGTTTTTGCTCCACTTGCAGACCTGCTCAGTCAGACCCTTAAATTTATAGTATTGTTTTGGAGCTGGGAGGAAAATTAACCACACAGGACTGCAGCTGAATCAGACCTCTGACTGCGAGCCAGAGCAGGTGTATTTCTTAAAATCTGAAAGATTTATTGCTTCTTGGTGAGTCTGAATTACGAGTCGCTTTCAGGCAGAGACAGCGCTGACTTGCATATCCTATTTTTACATGAACAGAATGAGACTGCGAGCTCAGTGTACAGTAGCACAGCAGGGTGTCTCTGCTTGTGGCCCATCTGTTTGTTAGAAGCTACTTCTCTCTCTTAAAGACTTGGCTGGCAGACAGGACACAACAGATGAGCATATTTGACTTCTCATCTGCCGCCGCTATTTTCCTCTCAAACGGAGCAGCGAATAAAAGTTGCATCATTGTGGAGAAGAAAATCGTCTTTCTGGATTTAATACATCAATATTATTAGAACATGTGCAGCCTGGCTCCGTGTTGAAGTTTTTGGATGTAACCTTTATAGAAGTTTTGGGTTTTTTTTGTTAAAACTATGTATGCTATGAGACAGATAATCTAAAAAATGTGGCTCCTCAGCCTTCTTCTATTGCTAACTACAAACAACCAATCAGAGCAAGGAGGCGGGTCTTAGCGCTGCCCACCATTGCTCTCTGCAATGCTGCAGTTAGCACAGCCTCTCATAAATGCTAATGCTAGTTGGGATAACCAACAATAATCGTTTTTCTTGTAACGGTGAGTTGTTTCGCAACCATTAGCGCATTTAGCATCGTGTTCACACGCTTGATTGACAGCGCTAAGTCCGTCAATCAACGGACTTAGCGCTGATTGAAACTAAGTCAAAACAACAATCAGAAGATTGTTGTTTTTGGTAGAGAGTGCAGCATTTGTGCATAATAGTTCAGGGAGGAAGTGGAAGAGATTGATCTTTTCTGTCTCATTTCTCTGTATATTTTAACATATTTTTTATAAAAGTTACAAACTACAACTTTAATGATGTGAAACTTTCAAAAGCTAAATGAAAAAAATCTGTAATGGGATAATATCTTAGTAAATATTTTACATCACTGTGGAATATAATCTGGCCATCAAATGCAATCAGGTTACATTTTTTAATCCTAATCTTGAATTTATCCCAGGTATTTTCTGTGCTGACTAACCGACGGCCATCATGTAATCCCAGCGATCCAGGAGGCACATGCCGAACTGACTCCCGTCAGGCGTGTGGCCCACGTCGATGAGCGCCAACTTCCTGTCTGGGTTCTGACAGACGGCAGACGTCCACGCCACCAGGAACCAGCAGACGATGAGCAGGATGATGGCCAGCAGGCGCAGGACTCGCCAGCTGGTCATGTAGGGGATCCGCTGGGCTGTGCGGGACAGGAAGACCTTCAACACCCTGTGGAGTGAAAGGCTCACATGGATTACCCTGAATCTGTGGTCTATACAAAACATGTTCATTACATTTTTCATACAAAATCGTTTTTAGATAATGAGATTTTTGTCTGGCCAGTTCCTTTCATAAGAAGGGTCTCTGTCACTTTAAATCCAAATAAGTTGCTGCAGGGCACACCCCCTCCCCCATCCATCTTCACACTCACACCTGAAAATGGCTGCAAACACATGTGCAATTACACAACCGTACACCTTTGAAAAGCAAACGTGGAACCTCCTGCACAACCAACAAGAACATTTTTGACTTTTCAAACTCCAAAACTTCATAATTTCTTTTTCTGCTTAACATAAAGGAGTTCTGAAATGTTTCCTTGCACATTTTTTGTTTCAAATGCAGAAAATTCTGGGGGGTTTTCCCCTTGAAAATTTCTGAGTTTCTTCTAACAAACTTTCAACTTTTCTAGAACATTTTGGAGATTAATCTAAAAATTTCTGCATGCATTTCTAGCAAATTTTCAAACAAACTTTTTTTCTTAAAAATTTCTAAAATTTATCTCAAAATGTTTGAGTTTTTTTCTAGCAAACTTTCAACTTTTGAGACAGAATTTTTTTGTTTTCTTGAAAATGTCTGAGATTAATCAGATTATTTTCCAGTAAATGTTTTACTTTTCAAACTCAGAAATTATTTAGTTTTTTCTTCTAATTTTACAAATTGTAAATTGTTCAAACTCAGACCCAGAAATTGTCTTGTTCTTTCTCGAAAACTTCAAAGAATAATCACAAAATTTCATATTTTTGTCTAGCAATTTTTGACTTTTCAAACCCAGAAATTATCTTGGTTTTTATACAGAATTTCAGAGATTCAGCTCAAAATTTCTAGACCTTTTTTATAGACTTTTTTTCTTATATATGGTAGTCGTCATATTATCTGTTAGATTTTTTACTTTACGTTTTTTTTGCTCATCTTCCCTCCAACCTTCTGAGGCCACCCTAGCGCCCCCTGGTGGCGTTTTAAACCCACCGGTGTGAGAGACATTAAAATGCAGGACCAACCTGCTATTCTTAGGATCTGCCCTTCAAAGCAACATCAATATAATTTCCACTAATGAGCCCCATCAAAAATTGATCTGCGCTACATTAATGTCCACTTACAGCCTCTTAATCTCCATCTCTACTTTTGAAAGATTCATTGTTCAAATAAAAAAAAAGCTCCTCCTGCAGCTAACCACTAATATTGCTGCTTGTTGCCAGCTTCTTGCCGTCACATTTGTCTCTCTGTAGTATTTAGAGGTTAGCCGGGGCCAGAGCTTCCTTAATTACTTTCTCTTGGCGAGGAATGCAAAATAAAGTCTGGTGATGAAGTAGCTGAGAAACACACAACCTCTTGACTCTTTCTGTTAGTGGAATTAAGATGTGAGATTCGGTGTAATTGCTGTGGATAAAGTCGATAGGATCCTGAAGGTGATTCTGGGAGTGAATAACGGACCTGTAGAGTTTCAGAGTGAGCGTCCCGTAGACGGTGGCGAAGCCCAGCAGTCGGACCCAACGCAGCAGGATGCAGCGGAAAACGCTCGGGTGGAAGTAGAGAATCCCGACCTGGAAGCAGAAAAAAAACAGAGAGGGTTTTCGCCTCTGAAAGATACAACGGCACACTGGGCCCTTTGTGGAGCCAAAAAAAAAGAAGAAAAAGTTCATTTCTGCTAAAAAAAAAAACCTATTAAGGCCATTTCTGAGCATGAAACGTTAAAAATTTGCTAGAAATCTCAAATTTTCTAAAGAAACACAAGCAAGAAATCAGAAATTTGCCAGAAAACCTTTTTAAATTGTGAGATCAATGTAACAATTCATTTTTACAAAAAGCAACAACATTTCTGAGTTTGAAAGGTCAAAAATTGTCTAGAGAATAAAAACCAACTGAAATTAAACTCAGAAATCAGAGTTGCTCTGAGTTGGAAAAGGTGAATTTAAAAAAAACAAAACATTTTTGACCTTTGGAAATGTTCTGGGTTTCAAGTCGTTTTTTTTCTAGAAAATATGTGACTTTTAACTCTCAGACATTTTCATATTTTAATCTAGAAAATTTGAGATTTTTTGGAGTAAATTTACTCTCTTTTTTTCTGATCCCAGAGGAGTTTTTACGCCGTCGTCGGAAGATAATGGCCTCTAAATTAAATTAAATTCAAGTCGGCGGAAGCTGCAGCCTCAGCAAAAAGCTCTATAAACACTGAAGTAATTTTATTTAAGTGTTTGTTCTGATCTGCATCTGGAGCACAGCAGCAGGGCTTCATTGACTCTGTTTGCTGGTTCTACATTCTCCCACGCCGTTTAACGCAGACTGCGTTCATTTTTCACTCTTCTGACAATCAAAGCTAAAGGCATAAGATTTGTCACATAAACCAGCAGATGGGATCTGTTCATGCTTCAGGTAACATGCGATGCAGATGCTGCTGCTTTTAACTCAACCGCAGATATAAGATCAGCTAGCTACGATTATTTGAAACCTCTGGTGCACAGTCGGCGTTAATACGACAGCATTTTATAATATTTCACTGGGTTGGAGCTTTCAAAGAGACGTAAACTAAAATCATTAAAGTGAAACCACGCACAAGCCACAAGAATGTGAGTTTCAAAAGATGCAAAATGTAATTTTATTGTTATTTTTTAACTAAGGCTGATTCCACTCAATCATAAAACAAACATGCAAGTTTTAGTGGACAGGAGTTCAAAGTTTTGGCAAGAGGGATTTGTTCAACATGATCAAAATCTTGGCTCCATTTTCACTACAAATGTGCAGAAAACTTTTGTCAATATTCTGCTAATGTTGAAAAATCCAATTAAAATCACACAATCAGTTTGTTCTTGGGATAAGTTGTTAAAAACATGGCTTGCCATGATTCTCCACCCACTTCCTGTCGCTTTCTCCTTTGTGGTTTTCACCAGTAGCATCATCCGGATATTGATCATGTGACTCTATTGTAGGTTTGCACAATAAACAAATTTTGATGCAGCCAAAAAATTGTTGTGAAAACTGGCATAAAGTGGTGAGATCTTTCCAGGCTAATGCAGGAAACAGATTATAAAAGCTTCAGAGACAAAAGGAATCCTGTATTTTGATTTACTGATGGCTATAAAAAGAGTTTGATGTGACAAAAAGCAGATCAAGAAATGAATAACGTGATGAATAAAATGGTGAATAGAATTAAACTCAGATGATTGAGTTTAATTCACTCCATTTTTTTCACATTTTGTGAAGAAAGAAGTGTCTTCTTCAGAGGTTAACATGTCATTTCTTTCTGTAGTTCTTGGTGCAGCGCCACCACAGGCAAGGAGGGGAACAACAAGTTTTTCCAAAGGTTTTGTTTGAAACGGTGTAATCTGAAAGCGAACCGCAGAAGCTGAAAATGTAACAAATGTTGCAACTTTGGTTCCCAATGGAACCGAGTCCACTGAGCAGACAAAGTTTTGCTCACGTTTTTGATATAAAGTGACAATGGACGGACCAGTAGTACAACCAGAATGGCTGCGGAGCTACAAGAATCTTTGCAGCGTGATCTGAAAGGATAAGTTCATAAACTGCATGAGTCAGTTTAAACGTGCGCTGACATTTCAGAGCCGTTCTTGGCGTTCTTCATCACAGAAAGCTTTACCGCTGAGACCCAGAGGAGGACATCAAGCCGTGTTTTCCACACACTGAAATGTGGCCGGTCCACTGCTGCCAAATAAAAAAAACCTTAAAGGAAAAAATAAACCCTGGTGGCCTTCCAGCGACATGAAAAGAGCCAACATGAAAAAAAAAGAAAGAAGAGATAGAAACAAACATCTGAGGCGACATAATTATCTGTCCGCTGCAGATGTGCAGTGATTTCCCCTGTGGGATTGTTAATGGTAATCGGATTAGCTGAGGCATTAATACGTTCCCTCAAGCAGCAGAAAAGACGCAGCCATGCTGGCGCTCACCGAGTTTGAGTCAGTTAAGGGACGCGGAGGAACCGAGAGCGGAGCGGCAGCCTGACCGAACCGAAACCTCTGACTCAATGGAAGAGGTTGACTCAGCTTCTCCAGGGAGCAGAAAGCGAATGCTGAGGTTTGCATTTTACCTGCAGACCAGGTGTTTCACTTCACATTGGAACGTATAAATGAAGATCAAGAGATGATACCTGGGCAGGTACTGAGCCACACGCTGTGGCACATTCAGGTCTGCAGGGATGCAAGAGGCTGCAGGAAAGAGGCTGCAGGAAGACGGAGTGGAAAACCACCAGAGACCAGAAAAGATGGCCGCTTTTAACTGGGATCTGAATCAAGTGCTGGTTTTTTGTGGTGGGGAAAAAAAGAAACGGATAATTTAAATAAACAAAAACTTGTTTCAAAATATCATCTATAAAACACAGACGTACCAATTCTCCAGTGAAAAAAATCTGCCAGTGTATTTAGTACTTTTCATCAAAATTACAGAATAACTGACTAAAAACAAGCTCTTACATCTTCCTGAAAAGTTACCTGTAAGTTAGTTTTGTCTTATTTCAAGTCAGATATTTGCACTAGAAGTTGAAAAATACTTGTCATGAGAACCAAAAGAGGCACATAAGACAAACTGAGGACAGTCTTTGTCCTCAAACGTCTCTTCATGATGCTCAGATACTCATTACCAAGGCTGTTCTGGTGCTGCACTTTGCATTAGGAGGCTTTCTGGGAAGCGTCTGGCCCCTGATCTTTAGGCCGGCTTCTCTTAACGCCAGCATGCATCAAGAGGAAGATCAGTTTCTGCCCTCCTTCACTTTTCAAACCTCCCATTAATAATCGATGCTAAGTGCTTCGCATTAAGGGTTCAGCAGCGTCTGTAAGAAAGGGGATCAAACGGTATTCAGGACTTTGTGAACGTGCAGCGTTTGACCCACAGAGATGGAGACAATTCTCTCCAAAACTTTGACTACAACTTCTTTATTTATCGCTTAATTTTGTTTTACATTTTCAGGTGTGAATGAGACAGATTTAGTTTCATCAGATGGCCTCTTAAACATGAACTGAAGTGCATCACACTTCTTTATGTGGCAGAATACAAACACCTTCATGTGCAGTGTGTAACTTCTTTTAAAAAATGTTTTGTACATATTTGTTAAAACTGTCGCCATGTTGTGACGATTTGACAATCTGTGAGAAATTTATCTCTAACCCTACCCTCCAGGAGGAGGGTCTTGGCGATGTCGATCATCCTCGTGTTCGCGCTGTTAAATGTCTTAATGATGGAGAAACAACTCACTCTTACAGGAAAACTATCTATCCACTGTCATTGGTGGCTAAGCTAACTGGTGGTACGCTAGTTGTAGCATAGCAGAGAGCAGATTGGGAGGAAAAGGGAGGACGAGCAGCGCCACATACGATTGTAATTGACAACGGTAAGACCGGGAGAAAGCAGAGGAGCTAGATTTTTTTCACAGATGACCCGTCTCACTATACGGTCATTACATGCAACAGTTTCAACAAATATGTTAAAAAACATTTTTTATAACAGTTAAATACTGCAGCTTTAACGTGTTCAAATCCACAAAAAAGCAAAGTAAAGTTTAGACAAACTCCTGCAGAAGATTAAACTTTCTCAACCACCTTGAGAGGTGATTTATTTGGGCCAGAAATCGCCTGATCGAAGCCTGGGAAATCACTTTCACTTTCATTAAAGGGAGACTCTTATGATTTTATAGCACAATCAAGTAACTATATTAACATCAGTTGTTATTAAAATGCTGTAGACATCAAATAGGACTTAAAATTTGAATTGGGCCTCTGTCTCTTTAAGAAGCTCCTCTTTTTAAAACTCTGCCTTCAGGCAGTTATCTCAACATGACTCCTCTGTTAACCCTTTAACAACTTTTTAGGGGTCAAGGAAGCCATGTTGAGAGACGTATAGGAGCAACAGCGGAGACACAATTCCACCAGGTGTTTGCTAACTGCTGCTGGCTAGTCTGTAGGAGCTGAGCTGCGCCTTGAAGGCGGAGCTAGGTCCTTCCAGGCGTTTTGCACAGCTGAATGGTTAACATGGCGATTGAAGGATTTCTTAAACATGCATGGAAGAATCAAAAAACACTCCAAGTTTGTTTTTGACAAAGTAATAACATTTTAAAATGATGTAAAGCTTTAAAAAGTTCATTTTATATAATACTGGCCCTTTAAAGAAGATGAAATCCAGACTTTAGATCCAAGAAGCAAAGCAGTTACTGACTTTATCACTTAAAATCCAAACGAAATAAATGGAGATTTATGGCCCAAAATGTACAAATGTCATTTGAATGCTGTTTGTATGTTTCTATAAGACAAGGAAAAATTATTTAACAAATATCCACAGGATTGAAAAATAAGTGTATTCAGCTAGAAGTGATTAAAATGGAAAACACGTAAAAGGCTGAGAATAACAACAGGTAGTGTGCAAAATTTCACAGTATTTAAATTATCATGCACAGATTTATCTCCAACTGTTAGTAAGGTGTTGATAAATCGACGAGGCCTGAAGGAACAAGAGAAGGAGTCACTCATCTGCTCGCTCAATCAACGCTTTATTTCTCATTATCTTTTCTTCTGAAACATTCCTCGTTTCAGCGCCCACC